CTTTGGAGATATATTTGGACAATGCTCCACAGTTTAAACTAGCTTCTTCATTCTTAGAGAATATCTGGGAAAACAACTTCGTAGATGATGACGTCTTATCTTTTGTACATAGCAATGGGTGTAAATTCAACTTCATCCCCGAATTCGCTCCTTGGATGGGAGGATTCTACGAACGGCTCATTTCTAGTGTAAAAAAATGCTTGAAGAAAACTATTGGACAATTGAAGTTGACATACACACAGCTAGAAACTGTATTATACGAAACTGAGGCCATTTTGAATTCAAGACCTCTTGTGTACGTTTCTTCCGAAGACATATGTCTCAGTGATGAAATCATAACTCCCGGACATTTTTTTGAATTTCCATGGTAAAAATGGTTTGATTGGAAATTTAAAGTCACATAACATCCAAACTAACAAGGACTTCGAAAGAACATCAAGAAAAAACATTCTTGAAATTTGGAAAAAAGGAGAAAATGTGTTAAGTTTATTTTGGAAGATCTGGCTTCAAGATTACTTAATGAGCCTACGTGAAAGAAAAACAACTGAAATGAAGCAGAAAAAAGGAACTACAACAAACAAACCAAATGTTGGAGAAACTGTTCTGATCCATGAAGCACTACCACGAGGAAGTTGGAAAATGGGCAGAATAGTAGAACTTCACTCAAGTCGAGACGGAAAAATAAGTAAGGTAGTGCTACAGTAATTCTCAGCTCGAAGAAGAAAGTTGTACGTCCCTTAAATCTCTTATATCCACTAGAAGTGAAGAATTATTAGTGTTTGTCCTTCGCCCGGAGTGTGCCAAAGGCATGGATTACAATATATTTAATGCCAGCTGGTTATAATTCATTTGTTATTGTTTTGAACTTATAATTGTTACTATGAAAATACAAAAACTGTGAACCAAACTCTTAACTTATTTCAGTTTTATTCAACCTTTAATCTTATAAAACTAACTAACTTTAAACTTGAACAACTAACTATTTGACAAGCTTTGCCCCGTTTTACTTCATAAGTGAGCTCGTTCGCATGTCTCAATAACGTCCTGGTTGAAGTTCGTTCGCTACGCTGACTCACCTTTAGGTTGGAGCTCGTTCGCTGCGCTCACTTGCCTTCAGGTTAGCTCGTTCGCTACGCTAACTCGCCTCCAGGTTGAAGTTTGTTCGCTACGCTCACTCACCTTTTGGTTGCAAATTAGCTGTTGTCATAAATTAAAAAAAAATAATAGTGCTGCACCCTGTTGGTAATCATTGTAAGTTTTTAATGCTTTTGCATATCATAGAACCAACTATTTAGTTGAAACAGCTGACTAAATTCTTTAATTCCCTTTTAATATGAATACTCATAAGGTTAACATGGGGAACTATAGAGCCACTGGGGCGGAGCCCGAAAGGATTTTTGAGATAAGAATATGCTTATATGTTAATCGGGAATGTGAGCTATCATCATGCCAAATTTCAGCAAAATCCGTCCAGTGGTTAATGCGTTTACTTGTCACAAACATACATCCATACATCCTACTAATATTATAAATGAGAAAGTTTGGATGTATGGACATACATCCATACATCCAAACTTTCTCATTTATAATATTAGTAGGATTCTGTAAGACCAAATTCTTACCAGAAAATTGTGGGCGTCTGGTAAGTTGCAGAAAAGTGAGAGAGGTCTTAAATTAAAGGTCTTGACCCCAGGGACTCGAAGAACTATATAATTTGAGGGTGATAATAGACTAAACTTGTGTAATATAATGCCCTATAGACTCAATGTTGCCTTCCAAACATCCTTCCTTTTGCTGAAGTACAAGCAGCATCCTTTGAGCGTACGCCATTCTATAGCCTACTACCCTATATTGTATGCTTAGCGAATATCTGGTTAAAACGTAGAGAGAGTTACAAAACACAAACTATTTAAGGTGTTTACGATCTACTAACGACATAATCTATTTGCCGCACACAACAGTGTTTTGCTCGACGATTTGTTATTATTTTGGTCTGATCTGAACTATCGATTGTATTTTTATCAGTAACTATCGAAGTTCACGCCGAATCTACTACAGGAATAATAGTTTATAGTTAGCCCTTGATTATAGTTGCTAGTGATTGGATCATCGACATTGACTAGCGATATAGCATTTTGATTTTGCTCAAATTTTACACATCTGAATAGCCGATAGCTAATAACAACTGATTGGTTAATAACATAGTTATTTTGTATAATATAGTACTTAGTACTAATTATTACCATCCAACGTTATTTACTTTAACGATTGCGTAAATATAAGGATAGCTGTTTTAGTGCTCGCACAGCTAGCGTTAGCCTGTAGAATAATTGGGATCTTTAAAGGATAACTGTGGGGTTTAGTTATCCAAATTAACCTACCGTAACCTATCCTAGACTGCTTGAAGTACATATATTCACCATCCTTGTTAGCTGTGCAGGCTATCTACCCTTAACCTTTTTGTTGTTTCGAGCGCATTTGCGTGGGGTTAGGGTAGCGAACAAGGTTCATACGGGCGTTTAGGTAACGATTAACCTACCGTAACCTATCCTAGAAAGCTTGAAGAATATTTAGCATCCTAGTTAGCTGTGCAGGCTATCTACTCTTAACCTTTTTGTTGTTTCAAGCGCATTTGCGTGGGGATAGGGTAGCAAACGAGGTTCATACGGGCGTTTAGGTAAGGATTAACCAACCGTAACCTATCCTAGATTGCTTGAAGAATATTCAGCATCCTAGTTAGCTGGGTAGGCTATCTACTCTTAACCTTATTGTTATTTCGAGCGCATTGGCGCGGGATTAGGGTAGCGATCGGAGCATAACAAGGATTAGTTTGTTCTTACAACCTTTGATACCGATCCTAGTTTGCTCGAAGAACATTCAGCCTCCTAACTGGATGTACAAGCTATCGCACCTAATTCTTGAAATAGACTCTAATGCGAGAATTGAATTAACAGAGAACACGGCACATAGATTATACACGACAACGTTTTCTTACGCGTCTGATAGGGTAACGATGATGAGTGAATAGCGACAACTGGTTCGCACATTTCACTGAGTTACCCTATCATTTTCAATAAAGGAATTTGATTGAACACAGACGATTGATGCTATAGATTATTCGAATCAAAATTAATATTGAGTGGAATTTCAGAAAACAATATTTTGTTGGTTCATATCGACCCCTGGAAATTTAAACCCAACCCTGCTGAACTATCTTTGGGCGATAAGATAAAGAAATCGACACACACACGGAAATTCCGTCACACTATTTCTAGGTGATTATTCATGCATATATTTATTTAATCAAAATATAAAATATACCTTACTATTGCCAAAACAATTGATTTATTTTTTATAGCCTCCGGTTTACCGATTAATATTAAATATGGAATCAATGTTTTAAATTGTAATCCTTAATTATTGCAATGTTTAATGATTACCGTAAAGCAGTGATTTATATAATTTTTAAAATATAAATTCAGCTCCACGCTTACTCCGTACACATAGAGAAAGCTTCAATATCACTCGTTAAGTGACAAATTTCATTAAGATTTAACATAAGCAAACAAAGACAAATAGGTCCAATGGAAAATATTGTCAATACATTATTTGTTAAAGTCCGAGTGGTCAAATTAATAAAGGTTATGTGTTTTCAAATCCATACTAAGGTTGAAGTTTTATCGCATACTATATTAAATTTATTTTTGATGCCGCACACTTATTAATCGCAGCCAAATGGGGGGGTACAATTCCAGGGGGGTACAATTCCACCCCGTACACTGATCAAATAAACGTGAGTTTTAACTGGGGGTACAATTCCTGGGGGTTTCAATTCCAGCCCCTACAGTTTTTTAGATGCCAGTGGATGTAATCGAAGCACTCGTGCATAACAATATCAAAGTTTTATGAGGGGGGTACAATTCCAGCCCGTACATGCCGTTTTGGTAGAGAAAATAAGACGTCATTGTGACGTCAATAGCCTGCAGGGGGTACAATTCTAGAGGAGTACAATTCCTCCACCCCGACCAATGAATGCATAACCCACAAAGTCCTTCTCTTGAGTTTAGTCTAATATTGCAATTAACAGTTAACATAGCAAATAAATGAACCACTGAAACTTCTTATTTTTGACTTGAAATGTCTTGATTGTTGGTGGCTTCCAGTCAATAAACTCTGTATAAGTATTAAGTTTACTTTTGGAACTGGCAACGCAACCTTGTCGTTGTGGTAGCAAGAATAAGTTGCTTAGCAGAACTGAAAAATATTCATCTCACCATGTGAGTGTGTATCTGGATTCCTTTCAGTTAGACCAGACCTCTCTTCTTCTACTCTTCTTATACGCATAAGATCTCTTATTTAATTCTATACTCCTTATCCTATTATAAATTTTGAAGCTTGTTTTTTGTGTCTAGTTCATGTACGTTCACACTGATCGCTGGGGTAGACAAACTTTTGTTTCTATTATTTTAGTGTTATTTTATTTTCATGATTTGTGTTTTATTATTTGGTTATATAACTAGGAGACCAGTTATTGTTTATGATTAAATCGTCTTATTTGGTTAAATGAGGTTTTAAATTACTGAAATAACAAGAAACGAATTGTAAACAAAACATAACCTCTACAGTTGGGCGTACTGAACTAACAATAAAATTGGCTTCAGCTGTTCCATAAGGATGACAAATCTATTAAGGGAGTATGATTTATCTATGCTATAACCTACTGAATATTAAACATCAATATTTGCTCCCAAAATAGCTGATGAGTTTCTTTACATAAACAGCTGTTTTTTGTTTTAAAATTTGTCCTGTGTAGTTCTTATGGGGGTAAATGGACCTTTGAGAGCGTCTCCCGCCTTTACGGGTAAGAATTTCTAAATTCTAAAACCTTATTGCAAAACTACAAATTGAGACGAATCTTTTGACATATCAAACGTTGAAATTGGTCACAAATAAGGTAGGAGTAATGTTCATAAAAAAAGGCTTCACATATAGATACTAACCTCCAAAGCATTCCAGTCATTGAACCTTAGCTGTTTTTTGTCATCGTCCAATATATGTTTTACCTTCACCATGAAATCCTAGAACAAAAGAGATGATATATACATTTTAGTTTAGGATCCTAACCCTTTGAGCCTTAAAGGCCGATACGATATAACAATCATTAAGGGCAACTAACATTTAAAAAATCTCAATTTTCAACCTTTTAACAACTAAAAACTACTTGCGTAATCCTACAAAAATGACTCGAATCTGTACATGACAAGTGCTGCAGGCTGAAAGTCAAGCTTGGTTCACTCACGGTTTGCTTGTATTGCTAGTGCAGTTAACCCATCTAGCCCAGGCCAGGTGTAAGCCTACTGTAACAGAGCTTGGAGGGAGAGGCCCACCTAAAATTTAGCTCGAGTGTAAGTTGACAAGATATATATATATATATATATATATATATATATATATATATATTAAGCAGAGGTTAATTAATTACATGAAAGGGAATCTTACTTAAATACCTCTTACGTAAATACCATGTGTCAGTAGTAAGTAGGGCCTTGTATGATTTTTTTCAACTGTGACAGAGTTGCAGTAACTTAGTCCAATTCAGAGCTGCTTAGCTTGGGTTGTAACCAACCAGTAAGACTTAAAAGACAGTCGTTTATTTAACTACATGATACATTTTTTAGATTTAATTTCAGCTTCATAATTTGTATTAACCCTCCCAGTGTTACTCGACGAAAATTCGACAAGCAGCACACTTTGTGTAGTGTTACTTGTCGATTTTTCGACACGCAGACATCGTTTACGGCGAAGGCTCTATGACTGACTGAATCGGATTGAACTGGATTGAGTTAGGTATCGTTCTTTCCGTAATATTCTAAGCTTTCTCCAGAGGTCTGTCTCTAAGCGCTATTCATTTTAGTTCCGAAAATATTGTAGCAGACAGCTGACGTGCGTGTATTTGTAAACAGCTAGGTTCCCCCGGACCGATGACTGATGTGTTTTATTACGTTTATAATTGTTTTAGTGTTAAAAATCTAAAGTAGTGATATACGTGGTGCATTATAAGAAGATTTAAGTGGTTTTGAAGTGCTGGTTGATGATCCTGAAGAAGTAGGTAGTAATATTGATGTAAATTATCAGCCAGATTCCTAGCTATGGTTAGGCTATGCATTCTTAGCTAAACGCTATGTACTGAAATCAGTTTTTTGCCCATAACTTATTTATTTGCAAATATACTGATGTATAGTTTTAAACATGTGTTCATTAATTGATTGTTTATGTTTACCAATTTTGTAAATAGAATGGATTGAATAAAATAATGTACCTATCTTTTGATTTGAATCTAATTATTATACAATAAATGGCGACGAGGATGGGATATGGAAACAAGAGGTTTGTGGTCCGTCTGAAGAACAAACTTTCGTCCATAGCAATAAGCAAAGAATTTCTTTACCCCCCAGTAAATTGCTGTAGCTTCTTTGTCTATTTGACTGTACTGTTTTTCACTTTTTGATAAAGATCGGGAAGCAAAAGCTATGGGTTGTTCCGACCCATCAGGAAACTTATGGGAAATTACTGCTCCCAATCCATAAGGAGATGCGTCAGTTGAGAGTATTAGAGGAAGTTTTGGATTGTAGTGTGCTAGAGTGTTGTCATTGGCTATGTGCTTTTTAACATTGATAAAGCTGTTTTCACATTCTTGTGACCATTCAAATCGCTGTCCTTTCTGTAGTAACTTATTCAATGGATATAGCTTTTCGGCCAGTCTTGGTATGAATTTGTTGTAGTAATTGGCCATGCCAATGAAAGATCGTAGTTGATTCACATTTCTAGGTTTTTCTGCCTCGATAATTGCTTTGACCTTTTCTGAGTTTTTCTTCAGCCCGTTTTCATCAATTGTATGTCCCAAGTATGTTATTCTTTGTTGAAAGAATTTACATTTGTCAAAATTTAATTTCAAGTTATGCGCTCTAAGTTTTTCTAGGACAGTTTTTAATCTCTCTAGTGTACTCTTGTAATCTGTACCTTGAATGATTATATCATCGAAAAAGCACTTAACTCCATCAGTCCCTTGCAGTACCTTATCCATGAATCTTTGCCACAGTGCTGGTGCTACTTTCACTCCAAACATCAACCTGTTTACTTTATACAAACCTTTCTGAGTGCTTATTGTTTGTAGCAGAGCACTTTCAGAGTCCATTGGCATGTGTAAGTAAGCATTACTAACATCGAGTGTGCAGAAAAATTTACCTCCATTCATCTCTGCAAAGATGTCCTCAATTCTTTGTATTGGATACTTCTCATCACGGATAACTTTATTCAACGTAGTCTTGTAATCTGCACATATTCGTACCGAACCATTAGGTTTTACTCTAGGAGGATTAAACATTAAGGAGAGGACACGCTGTAGTTTCGTTGAAGCCAGCGTACTGGGGAGGGGGGGAGGCAGCGCTACTCTCCCGCCCCCCTCTCATAACTGCGTTGTATGCGTTACTGGAAGATTTGGTAACAGAAATATCAATTAACTATTTAAAAATTAGACTTCATCATGCTACGAAAATTAAAAAGTTAAATTCTAACCGTAATATTAGGAACCTATTAAGAGGAAAGTCATATTTATGAACCAATAGTACGTTCAAAAGTGAGTAATTTACACAAGGATGACTTATTTTTTAGAATTCGTTGTCCTTGTTTTTATTTTTTGTCATACTTGTATTGTTTTTTATTTATAATACTCTAACCAGAGCGCGGGACTCCGGTTCCTGGGGACACCGCCATATCACCAATGGATTTTACTGTTCATAAATTAAAACTCAAATCATGAGTAGTACTGTATGTGTATTTGAACATTTTCTTAAAGAGAAATAAAATAAGTTTTTATCCTTTAAAAGAATGATAAACGCACTTTGGCGGTCAGAAGACGCGATGATTGTTGAACATTTACACTTTTTACTCGAAGTTTCTTTAGGTAAACAGATCAAATATAGTTCAATATGATATTTAAAAAATCAAGAATTTGATTGCCAAGGAATTGTTTTACTTTTTATGATTGTAATTTAATTGTAACGGCTGTTGGTGTAAAAAAAGTTAGAGCGGCTTTGCATTTTTTCTTAACTTTGGCTATTTAAAATCACCTGCCTAGCACATAAATGACTTAAAACTAGTAAAAAGTTATATTAACAAATCGAGAAAACTATGAAAAATGCAAATTTAAAATGTATTTCATCACCCGAATTAAAATTTTCATTTTAACCTATTATTAGTAAGATTGTTTTATAAACTGGAAAGATAAAAAAAACTTTATTGTAATTATTTTTCAAAATACCACTTTTAAATATAGGTAAATATATATTTTTATTTCCAGAAACTCTTAAGGAACACGAATAAATTGTTAATTTGTGTAGATACATCATATTTTTTTCAAAAACGTAATTAAAGTAATCATATGTTCAAAGTTCAGGTCAATTCTTTCAACTTTGATCTTCAATAATAAATAATAAATAATATTTTTTATAGTAATGATTGACACCGTTCGAAAGGAAATTTAATTTACTTTAAGAATGCCATCGGTGAATAACACAGGTGTTTTAGTTTAGCGGCAATTTTAATTCGAAACAGCGCGCGTCACGTTTTTCCCTATCTCTCCCATGTTATAGCCGAGGCTTTTTGCCACTCTACGGCTCCGCGTGCCCCTCTAGTGTTCTGCTAAAGCTGGCTTCACCGCAACACGTGTATTCCTATTCGCGTGCCCTCTCCTTAATGTTTAATCCTCCTAGGTTTTACTACTGGCACAATTGGCGTACCCCATTCTGAGTTTTCAATCTTTGTAATAATACCAGCTTTTTCCAGTCGATCGAGTTCTTCTTCCACCTTTTGTTTAATAGCATAGGGCACTTGCCTCGGCTTCACAAATATTGGACCACAGTCTTCTTTTAGATTCAGGTGTCCTTTTTCATTTGGAATGCAACCAATTTCCTTACTGAATATATCTGAATAACTGTCAAGAACTTGTGTCAACTCAGATGAGTTTTGATTCAACATTCTAATATCACCAATTTCTAAATTGACTTCTCTTATCCAGTCTCTACCAAATATTGGTTCAACATCTTGGTCGATAATAAATAGTTTTCCGAAGTAAATCTTTTCTTTGTACTGAAACCTAACATATACTACGCCCTTAGTTTGTATGATTTCACCTGTATATGTGCGAAGCTGTACATGTGATTTGAACATTCTTTTATTGATATCTAATCTCTTATAGTCCTCAAATGAGATTGAAGATAGCGCTGCTCCTGTATCAAGTTCCATAGATAATGGTTTTCCTTCAATTTCTATTTTCATAATGAACTTATCACTGTTATTTACTTGAAGTTTATAAGAATCGTAGGTAGTATGATCTAACTGTTTTTCAATCTCTCTGTCCTCTAGTTGGTCAATTCGTTGTTTTCTTGGTCCTCCCATACATACCTTTGCAATATGCCCTACTTTGTTACATAAATTGCAAAATTCATTTCTAAACTTACATGTATTTGCTCTATGGTCTTTATCTCCACACCGATAACACCGTCCTTGTAGACCTGAAAACTTTGAACGGGAAGGAGAATATTGGTCTTTGTTTGTTGCCTGTACAGCGTTCTTATTCCCAGAGTATCTGTCCCATTTTCTTGTCTGATTCTCTACAACCTTGAGCACTGGAACTGCTGGTGGTGCTGTGTGAGCAGTCATCATGCTGCTTTCAGTTCTCGAAGCTTCCAGTGATGTTGCAAGTTCAAGTGCTTCCTTAAAAGTAGTTACAATTTTCTTCTGTAAAAGTTGTCCTTTAATATCATGGTCGTGAAGTCCTCTTACCAATTGCATGCGTAATAACATATCAGTTACTGACTTTCCACAATCACAGTTAAACTGACAATCTTTAGACAGTTTCTTCAATTCCATAGCGAATTCGATGATTGACTCATTCGGTTGTTGTACTCTACACACAAAGCGATGTTGTAATGTTAATACACTTGGTAATGGTTCCAAATGGTCTTTTAAAACAGTAACAACATTTTCATAGTTCATCTTGTAAGGGTCATCAGGGGCAACTATGTCTAGAAGCCGTTCATGTAGTTTAGGTGAAAGTGCATGTAGTAAACTACAAAGCTTTGTTTTCTCTTCATTTACATCTTTAAGTACCAGAAAATTTTCAAATCTTTTAATGAAATTCCTAAAAGATTCCTCTTCGTCGTATGGAACAAAACTAATGTTTGATGTTGTGCTTGGTCCCTTGTTATGTGGATTTGCTGCTGTAGGCTCTGTATTATTGTGTCGTGTCTTTTCATTTCTCAATACTGCTTCTAAAACAATGTACATTTCTTCTGTCTCACTTCTGTACGAGGCTAGATCATCTTGTTCTTCATCTTCAGTGGCTAGTTCAATTTTGGTTTGTGCATCTTCAAATTGTTTCCAATACGATCTTAAACTGTCTAACCTCACCTCTATCTCTGCACTTGTCATTTTATCAGTTGCTTTATTTTCTATAATTAGTTTAAATGCTTTGGAAATTTTGCCTTTTTGCAACTGATCTCATTATTCCTCAAAAGTAAAGTGGAAGGAAGGGAAAATAATTTCAAGAACAGGAAATGTTATGTTTAAAGTCAAGACAGACACTGGACTCACTTGGACTCGTCACTCAGACCAAAGACTTCCCTTACACTAAGGGGGGAGAGTTGATGTATAGTTTTAAACATGTGTTCATTAATTGATTGTTTATGTTTACCAATTTTGTAAATAGAATGGATTGAATAAAATAATGTACCTATCTTTTGATTTGAATCTAATTATTATACAATATATACTTCCTTATATTATTATATATTTGTAATCCTCATAAAATTTAGAACAAAGTGGCTATTTTCAAATATTTATAGGCCTATAATTTATACAATTTCATTGAGCGCGAACTTATTTTTTTTTTGAAAATTTTCGAAATTATATTTTTTTTACCTAAAAATTTTTTTTTTGAAAAAATGTTCCTTATGTTTTATATATATAATATTGAAGCCCATGATTTTCCAAACAAAATGGTATATAGAACATTAGAATTAACATTGTTTTAAGCTTCTCAGATCCGTTTTAATAAAACCTTGCAAATGCGCCAAAAATAGGTGGACATTAAGGCCTAAACTATGGACACTTGGAGGGTTAATGATCGAGGATCAGTGTCCACCTAAATTTTCTACTAATGGGTCATTCCATGTTAATGAGACTTTTTGACAAAAAAAGTTAAATTGAATAAAGTTGTAGGCCTATATCTTGATTAGTTATCAACTTCTTCGGACAAAACTGGGTATGCACAAAAACATTTTTTTGTCGATATTCCCGTAGCAGCAAACCTGCATACTCAGACCCCATATTATTCTTATGAAGAATAAGACAAATGTTATCTCCCTTAATTATGAACATAAATTATTATAACTATGTATGTGGCTTTACCTAGTTGAGTTATATTGATTGTTTTTTGTAAAATTAACCATTAACAAGTTTTTATACAAATAACACAGTTTTGATTCAACAATGTAACACCCGAAACATTCAGTGTAACACCAGTAACACAGGAAACTGTATTTATAAACCATTACTAAGCCTAAAAAATTACAATGGACATCTAGTCAAAGTATAACTTGGAGTATTGTTACTCCACAAAATCTTTTATAGAATAATAGTGTAATCCAATTCACAGATATCATGAATTTCTCAGCCAGATATCAATACCTAGGTCTATTTTAGGTAACACCCGTAACGCTACTTTTAAAATTAATACTGAAAAAATATCAAATAAACACAATTATAAGCTCACTCAGCATAATGTAATATGCAAGACCCAACGTTTTGAATGTGATTTAAAATATATACTTTTTTTCTTGTACTATTTTAAAGTAATTTATAATGTGAATGTGTGAATGTAACACCCATAACCATGGAATCACCCTAGTCCACATCATCTTACGACGGCCCTGAAGGGACATTCTGATTCTTTTTGTCTTTCATTCTACTTCGACTTTTATCTCGAAGTACTTCGACTTTTTTCTCGAAGTACTTCGACATTTCTAGTCTAGTCTAACTTCAACTCAACTTCAATACGAATACGTTCATTGGTTCATTCCACTGAGCTAGTTCATTCTGTTCTGTTCTAATGTTCTGTTTCTGTCAAACTTCTTTCTCTGACTATGACCTCTGTCACTGTCGGCCAGCCATTTTTACCATCTTATAGCGACAGCGGAAGCGGGAAGAGAAATAATACATTAAATAAATAAATTACTAATACAGCTAATTACTAATACACTTTCCCGAGCTTGTACTTTTCCTTGTACCACTGTGTATGCATCTGTAAGTCAATTGATAATATTTCAAATTATAATTTATGTGTTTTTCTTTTGACACCTTTCTTTCTGGCTCCATCGATTGTTCTTGAACGTTTCAAGGCTTCTTATAACTTAGAAGTACAGTAACTGAAACTGAACGTTCTGAAAGTTCCCGTTGCATTATTTTGTAATACTGGAACTGTAACAGAAAACTGGAACGGGAACGGGCTGTGGAGCATTTTGACGTGCGAATAGTCACTTCGTTATAACAAACTATAATAAGCACATTCGAGAATAAAGTCGAAGTACTTCGAGAAAAAAGTCGCTTACTTCGAGAAAAAAGTCGAAGTACTTCGAGATAAAAGTCGAAGTAGAATGAAAGACAAAAAGAAACAGAATGTCCCTTCAGGGCCGTCGTATCATCTGGTTCAAAATCTATGTTTGTTTCTTAATGTCTAATGGTCTAATACTGGTACTCACATATTCAGGTTTGAGTTTTTTGTCATTGCCCCGGACAGCCGTCCTCTCCAGCTTCTCTACGTTCTGTTCCGTGTACTCCATGTCCTTCAGTCTCAGCTCGTCCATGATGATCTCTAGATCCCTGACAGGGTTCACCTCTCCCTCTACGTGTGTCACATCGTCATCATCAAACGCCCCTGAACACATCATACCAAACAATGTACTCATTAGTTAAGACAGCCTTCCTCTCCAGCTTCTCTACGTTCTGTTCCGTGTACTCCATGTCCTTCAGTCTCAGCTCGTCCATGATGATCTCTAGATCCCTGACAGGGTTCACCTCTCCCTCTACGTGTGTCACATCGTCATCATCAAACGCCCCTGAACACATCATACCAAACAATGTACTCATTAGTTAAGACAGCCTTCCTCTCCAGCTTCTCTACGTTCTGTTCCGTGTACTCCATGTCCTTCAGTCTCAGCTCGTCCATGATGATCTCTAGATCCCTAACAGGGTTCACCTCTCCCTCTACGTGTGTCACATCGTCATCATCAAACGCCCCTGAACACATCATACCAAACAATGTACTCATTAGTTAAGACAGCCTTCCTCTCCAGCTTCTCTACGTTCTGTTCCGTGTACTCCATGTCCTTCAGTCTCAGCTCGTCCATGATGATCTCTAGATCCCTGACAGGGTTCACCTCTCCCTCTACGTGTGTCACATCGTCATCATCAAACGCCCCTGAACACATCATACCAAACAATGTACTCATTAGTTAAGACAGCCTTCCTCTCAGCTTCTCTACGTTCTGTTCCGTGTACTCCATGTCCTTCAGTCTCAGCTCGTCCATGATGATCTCTAGATCCCTGACAGGGTTCACCTCTCCCTCTACGTGTGTCACATCGTCATCATCAAACGCCCCTGAACACATCATACCAAACAATGTACTCATTAGTTAAGACAGCCTTCCTCTCCAGCTTCTCTACGTTCTGTTCCGTGTACTCCATGTCCTTCAGTCTCAGCTCGTCCATGATGATCTCTAGATCCCTGACAGGGTTCACCTCTCCCTCTACGTGTGTCACATCGTCATCATCAAACGCCCCTAGCAGTTGCTATCTGAATTTCATTATTGAATTAAGGAACAATTACGAGTTAAGACACTTATGTACAATTGTATATGCCGTACATATCTATTTTAGTTAGACTTATTGTTTTATATCATCAAATCAAATCAAAATAGCATTTGTTCCGCCAAAATATTTACATCATTTTAACTATGTAGAAATATGTACGTTTATTATCAAATGAGTTTAAGGAATGCCTAATTAGTTCAGATTTAGTTTTCTCTATACACTGATTTTAACAGTGCAATTTATATACTGAAAAAGGCAGCTGTTCAATAGCTAGGCCCTGCGCTATTCTATTAAAACGTTTATGTCACAATAAAGGTAAAGGCCTAATGTGTATTATCTATTTACTGTAGGCAACAAACAGGTTAAATGAATAAAAACTACTTATTTATTGATACAAATATTTGAACCAAAGGACCCATTCTTGAAGTTATTTCCAGTTACTAGTACAATGCTTGTACTGAAAATACAATTAGGTCCTATTATTTTTTTTCATAGAAAAAGATTATTTTGTCAATAGCTTTTTTGCAATTTTAAACTTTGATTGTTCACAAAAAAACTAAATAGGCCTACCGATCCTTTTTTTTTTTTTTTTTTTTTTTTTGAGACTAACAAAAATATTTTGACATGAGACACAAGACAAACTGCAGGCAATAAGGATGAATGAGACCAGCTAGCCAGGTAATTGAGGGTTAGAAGGAGGCTCTCAATAACAGCCAGTCTAGACTTGTGAATTAAAACAGCATTAGGTCCCTGCTATTTTGACCTGCACTTTTTTTCTGGTGACCCAAGGGTGTTATTTGTTGAAAATGAGGTTGATGGCAGTGGTATGGTAACACATTAGAAGTTTCACGTTTATAAATATCTGTAAATTATGTAATTAATCAACTGTGTCGTTACTGGTTGTTTAAAAATAAATTTGTACTAGAGTGCATTTGTACTCAGTGGGGTCTAAGGGAGCTATAGCCACCCCATCGTGTCTAAACTAACACTGGATAAAGCGGAAAAGGTATTGAGGACGGGCGGGTAGCGCGGGGTCATTATGCGCGCCATTCTGAAAACATCGTAAACACTCGGCTTCTAAATCGATATGTCAGTGATTCATCTGCCGCCTGAGCCAAGTTTTTTAATAGGCTAGTGGCGCAGTAGCCTCCGACAGAACATGTTAATTTCGTCCCCCGTTTTGGACGCTGTTTTTCAAAAGATTTTCTTGAAATTTGTTGGTATCAATGTAGTTGAAAAGTTATATTAGAGATCTTATACCATTGATTTTCTTGGATATATCATGTATGAGGGCCCTAGAACCAACATTAACCCTAGGAGTGGCGAGACCGATTTTCAGTATGTGCTTTGTGGAGTGGCACGCTCATTTTGATGAATTTGTAAGGGAGTTCTTCAAAAATCTGTATAAAATTAGTATGTAGTGATAAACTATTGAACCGTATATTCATTTTGTTCGTAATAGTCAGTAGAATTCAAAAATGGTAATACAAACCAATTTTAGAAAGGTAGATTTTTAGAAAAAAGTAAAAAAAAAGAAAATTTATAAATTTTTCAAATTTTATTTCAAAAGCAAACACGTGTCATATGTAACATAATTTTTTATTGCACAATTCAAAATATCCATTTTGTTCAGAATTTATTCCTCTACATAGACATATCATAATATACACAAAAGAATTATTTTTATAGATTTACTAGCAATAATACGGAAAAATTGGAAAACGTCAATTCCTTCAACTACACGTTGATAGATCCACAAATGCCCCCTACTAATAAATCAATATGATAAAACCATACATTTTTTGAAGCCAATAATATAATTCTATATAAGAATAACTAAATAAGATAAGTAATAGAATATTTGGTTTTCACAAAAGCAAAAATGTAAACAAAACAACTGATCAGCTGTTATAGCCCACAAAACTTCACTAACTTTTTATCCTATTTTGGATCACACATGTATAAATATTTATGCAAAATAATGCATAAATATTTCGCCTAATTCAAAATAAAAACCTAAAACGAACATTACACTGTAAAATTAGGGATAAAACCCACACTTCGTCTTTGTTATCGGACAAAAACTCACGACGACGCCGCCATTTTAGGTTAGACGATGACAAGTGTTCTGTTCCTTTAGCTTTGAAAAATCAAAAGCTTCTATTTGTGTGACCAGCCTAACAACATTGAATTCTACTGTCCTTCGTCTACAAGAGCGTATATAAAACAACGTTTTTGTACTTTTCACATTGTATATATATGCGATTTAGAAATCGACATTTTATGTCGATCCGCCACATGAACAATACGTAAAAATAGGCTATTTACAAAAATTGTTCATCAGCTGTTGGAATGTATTATGACGTTATACTTTATACAGAATAAAAGATTTCTTCATGCTTGTTACAGTGGTACCACTTGCTTTTGTCACAGACAAAAATTACGTCTGCTATTTATTTTTGAAATGACTCATCATTTACGATTGCGCAACAAAACATGGCGTTCGTGAGTTCTCGCGTATTTTTCGTTTAAATGTAACTCATTATAAGATCGATGTATTTATGTTATAAGGTTTATTCTTATAATAAAATGAAACTTCGGAATCTTATCTTTCAATTGGTATAAGAGTTATGTCATTTCACCGACTTTAAATGTGCTTAACATGCAACTGAAAAAAAAACGTTACATAAATCGACATATTCTGTCGCCCGCCACTCCAGCGGCACATTTTGAAATCGACATTTTCTGTCGATCTGCCACTCATAGGGTTAATCTCTAAGGAAGAAATGTTTTAACATTATAGGCTATCTTTACACATTCTATCCGGAGCAAGGGACGTCCAAGCCATGTTTTCATTATTTTTTTTCACAGGGGTGAAGAAAACTTAGTAATTTACGGCTGTGCAAAATCTAGGAATTAACAGTGATTAAAAAACGAACAAGAATTTTAAGGATTGTGTTTGTGTTGTACTTCAAGTTATAAAATTATTCCAAATCATGACAATAATGGTTATAAAAAAAGTTGGCAGTTTGGCAAAACTGCTATTCTCAATAAAAGTTGAATGGAGGTTTTAATTTTTTTTACGAAACTTTGGACAAAGAAATGGTCTAAAAAACTGCCATTTTGGACAATTAATTATAACAAGTTTTCGGGGGAAGACCCCCCGGTTAACCACATATCAACGAACAGATCTGCCACTGTTTCAGAATCAGAATCAGAAATATTTATTTGTCATTGGACATTACAAAAGTACTAATCTACTTATCTTGTTATCTACTTATCTTGTTTGTACTAATCTAATAACAAAAGAACATACTCAAATTCTCAATCTTATAAAAGAACACTGAACTTCACGACCCTGTAAAAATAGGTTTAAAAAGGCAAGTCAATACAGTTGGTGAGTATCAGAAAAAATTTATTTTAGGTTATGCTTTTGCTTATTGAGATATTTTGATATAACACACCAAATTTAAAGATGTCCATGAGTGGAGGGTTAAATAGCTCATGGTTTATTATTTTACTTAAGTTTAAAATGTGTAAAAAGATTTGTTTTGTAGGGGAAAATTAAGTGGATGAAAGTTAGAGTTGGTGTTTTTCCTTAGTTTTGATTTTAATCATCACACTTAGAAGCCATTTTGTTATTGAAAAACTGTTTTTTAATAGGCCTATATAATAGTACTGTGATGATTTCTAATATCCTTGATCTTACAACTTTGATCAGCTGACCTGGTTACTATGCAAATTCAACAATTTATTTGAGTAAAAACCAACATTACAGAACAACACAAATAAACAAGTTAAATTTGCATAGTAACCAGGACAGCTGATCAAAGTTGTAATATCAAGGATATTAGAAATCATCACATTCTCCCCTGGTTAAAATTGTGTGCATAGTCTTGTAGGTATTTTGGAAGTCTTTTCTCCCTGAATGGTCTTTGAGAAGTTAATGGTAAATTAGGTACACTTTCACTTGTTTCCATGTCATCAGTTGGATTTTCATTTATTTGTACATAATTTTGTGCCTCATCTTGTTCTAAAAAAAAAAAAAATACAATGCTAAGCTATTATTGAGCAGGTCAATTAGAGTGGCAAGCAGAATGAACATGCGCCCCTTATATTGTACAGCCATCTCAACAATGAATTATTGCTGTTGGATTCATTTGTATCGTAATGTGACCCGCTGTATTGTTGGGATCTTAAATCAACAGAGACCATTGACCATTGACTTGACTTGATATACAGGGTGAATTTTAAATGAGTTCCCCCCCTACTTTTTTCTACATTTCTTAAGATATCATCTCCGGACCACGTCAGATCATTGTTGAGTAGTAAGTACTTCATTTTGACTGGGTATACATTTTTGGCCGCCATCTTGGATCCGCCATATTGGATACAAAGTTTTTTTTTCAAATGTAAAGGTAGGGTTGTGACCCATTATTTCCAACTAGAATTGTACGCTGATTACAATGCCGCAATTAGTTTTTAAAAATCTTGATCCGTTCTAAAGTTATGAGGACTTTTTATAACTTTATTTTTAGCGCATTTTAACATTGTGCATTTACAAACTAAGACCATAATCTCAAAATAGTGCTAGATAAAGATAAGTATACACCACCATTCATTGTCGACTTATTTTCACTTGGTTATGACGGATGTAGTTTTTTCAGCCGCCATCTTGGATCCGTCATTTTGAAATGTGATCAATTAATTTAAATATGAAGGTGGTGTTGTGACCCCTCATTTTGATCTAATTTTTTATGCTGAACTCAATGCCGCAATCCGTTTTTCATTTGCATCTTTGGATTTTGAAATATTGAAATTTTAAATAAGAGTATTTTAATATTTCATCAAGAAAGCTTGATAGCCAAAAACGGATTGCGGCATTGAGTCCAGTATAAAAAAGTAGTTCAAAATGATGGGTCACAACACCACCTTCATATTTAAATTAATTGATCACATTTCAAAATGGCAGATCCAAGATGGCGGCTGAAAAACTACATCCGTCATAACCAAGTGAAAATATGTCGACAATGAATTGTGGTGTATACTTATCTTTATCTAGCACTATTTTGAGATTTTGGTCTTAGTTTGTTAATGGCACAATGTTAAAATGGGCTAAAAATAAAGTTATAAAAATTCCTCATAACTTTAGAACGGATCAAGATTTTTAAAAACTAATTGCGGCATTGTAATCAGCGTACAATTCTAGTTTGAAATAATGGGTCACAACCCTACCTTTGCATTTGCAAAAAAAAAAAACTTTGTATCCAATATGACGGATCCAAGATGGCGGCCAAAAATGTATACCCAGTCAAAATGATGTACTTACTACTCAACAATGATCTGACGTGGTCCGGAGATGATATCTTAAGAAATGTAGAAAAAAGTAAGGGGGAACTCATTTAAAATTCACCCTGTATATAACAATGTATTTGTTTTAGAAGGGACACAGATGTCGAGTCACAATCTCAACACAACCAATAGCAACCTACATCCCACATCTTACCACCTGTTAGAACATATGAAATCTGGGATGATTCCCATGGAAGCAGGAAGCAGGCCATTACCCCATCACAGGTGTCACATCGCATGATCACCTCCAGCCAACATGCAACATCACCACAACCCCACAGATCCATTCATAACCACATAAGGAATCATTTAGTTAAACACTTTTTAAATTCCTCTAATTGAACGTCAGCTTTCAATTTTAGTTTTGTTGTGTTTTTTCTTTTTTTTTCTTATTCGTATAACAGTTGTCACTAATTTTGATAGGTTAACTGTTTGAACTGATTACTACAGTAAACCCTCTTGTGACCAACTTTAAATCAACCACCAACTGGATTAACTGCTTTCGCTCAGGCAAAAATAGAACTAGGTTTATCCATCCTCAGTTTAAAAAGTGATTAATTTAACAGACACTATTTTGTTCCTTTTCTTATCACAGTAATAAATCATAATTGTGTCCGTGTATATGTTATTTCATTTTTTGAACCTCAACAGAAACTCATGTAGGTAAATAAAGGTAGAAATTACTACTGTTTTTTTTTTTCAAGTTAATTGCTGATTTGTTTAAATAGTTTGCAAAAAAAGCAGCTTTCAAAACATTACAGTAGGCTCTCTCACCTTTTAACAAGACATCAGTTTGACTAGACTTGGCAAAAGTGAAATCTCTTTAACAACTGGAAAACAGTTAATTAGAACATCTATTTAACAGTATATTAGACTAAGGCTCAGCAATCAGGTTGCACCTCATTTTGCCTTACTTTACAACAACAAAATTGTGATATTTCAACTATCATTTATTCGATCTTTTTAAAATTGGTGCAGTTTGATAGGAAATTTCAAATGCAAAATAAAAGTGTTCTTGAAATTTTTTTAATAACATCAGCCATTTTTAAGTACCGGTCTATCTTAATTTAAATTATAAAAATTAAAATGTCCCCCATTTTCAAATGTTGAATTGGACCACGATTATTATTTTTTTAACACGGGTCTCTTCTCTCTTCTATTTAGACATGCATATCAAGTTCCATTGGCTTAATCAAAACAGTCCCTAGATAAAAATGTTTCTGTAAAAAATACAAAATCGCGGACATCTGGTTAACTAAGGGATTTTGGAACATGGATTTTATTCTCGATTTTCTCCTGGTTCTAACCCAAGGAATCACTATGTAAATTATGTCCCCACCTTTTTTGAACACCCTGTAAATCTTGTCTTCACAACAGAAGCCCTCAGAGCCACGTTTAGAATATCGCAGGGTTCATTCAATTTTATCCATTATTTACAGGATGTTGGGAATTTATAGAATTTCTTGCAAGCCCCTCTTTCAAGCAACACAATATTCTTACAATTCTATTTGAATACATTCCCAGTTATCTGTCCGTAATTTAAAAGAAAATCTTATCTTTTTAACCGCAGTACCTTAAAATCTGTATACTCTCAGACAGAGTAACATTATAAACAGCTTTATATTCAGCTTTATAAACACAGGGTGAAATTCTTTGAAAGATTAACAGCATTAGGTTCGTCAACATGCTGCTCGGACCCCTTAAAGTAGAGCAAGACACAGCGGTGGAAAGCCTACAAATAGAACAAGCTCCTTAGTATGTTCTGTCGGAGTGTAGTAGTATTTATATTATTTAGCGTTTAGTTTTATTTCTACTATAATACAGATTTACTCTGTGACTTACGACAGAGATGGAAGATAGCGTCACATGCCTTGATGTGAGAGAGGAAGGCATTGCCCAGCCCCTGGCCCTCAGCCGCTCCCTTCACCAGACCAGCAATGTCCACTACGTTGAGGAAAGCGGGCACTTTGCTGTAAAACACAAACTCTGAGTACAGTAGTTACAGAAAACACTCATGTTGTAAACAGGTTAAAATTACTGGTAACTGTCCTTTGATTCTTATACTCATGTATTGAACTAATTGAACTTAAAAAAAATAAGGCAGTCATGTGCATTGAAACGTGTCCAATATAGGCCTACACTAGGAGCAGATTAATCAAAATGCAGTTACAGATATTTTAACCTTTTTGACAATGATTAATGTTGTAAAAAGGTTGAAATGTTGTCAACGTAGTTTGGAATAAACACAACAACATGTATACTCAACACTCTTACAACTACCTTAAGCTATAAAATTATAATACCATAGATACTCCCAGATTTTAACAGCTGAAGCCAATTTTATTGTTAGCTCTGTACGTCCAACTGTAGAGGTCGTGTTTTGTTTTCAATTTTTGTTCTTGTTATTTCAGTCATTTAAAACCTTGATATAACCATAAACAATAACTGGTCTCCTAGTTAAATAACCAATATGATAATCTATATCTATATCTATACTATTATATAAAAATCTAATGGTGTCTGTCTGTATGTGTGTTACTAATAGGTGCAAAAACTACTAAACCAACTGGGCTTAAATATTACAAAAATATACCTACCATACCAAGGACCATTATAGGACTATTCACATTTCGATACTGACCGTAGGCTTTGCCCCTTTGGCTTTAAAAGCTCTGATGTGAACATTTTAAAAGTAAATATTGATAGGTCTCCATGGCTGCGAGAACACTAACAATGTTTGTTTACATTTGCTTTGACATTTAAATGTATACAAGAAGAACTGCTAAACTGCATATATCACAATTTCAGACAGCTGATACAAAGAAATTAAATATAATATTTTCCATAACTATTAGGTAGGTTTATTTTAATCTAACCTTTTATCATGGATTATTTATTCTAAAACTATGTCGATGATTATATAAAAAAAAACTGATTCTGTAACCGCTGTATCAACTCAAGGCCCCACTACAACTCCGGCTCTGCTCTGCTTTGGATTTTTTAAATCGTCTAAGTTATGAAAATAATGTTATTGATATGTTTTCATGGAAACAGTATGAAAATTACAATGTATAGATGTTTTGTATGCATTTGGAGGCTACTTTAAATAAATCCTAACTACTTAACATGTGTTAGATTAACTTAACATAACTTGCACATCACATTGTTTTTTATATGTATATTTAGGTAAATTAAGTTATTGTGTTTTGCTAAACCTATGCTTTAATTTAACCAAAGAATATCATCAATAACTAAATTGTACGTTGTTGATTTTTGTTTTTTTAAATCTGTTGTATATGTGTAACTATATTTAATTATCAAATGGTAATACAAAATACTCTTATTTTATCTTAACTAACATAGCTTTCAGTTCACATTTACTTTATTTGATACTTTTGTTATTTGTGTTTTGCCACACCACTGATTAAATTAAACCAAGGAAAATATCATAAAACTAAGCAGTACACAGTGTTCTTTTGTTTCTAAAATTAATGAAATATCTGTTACTATGTTTACTTAATGGTAAGTGTGAAAATGTAAAGGAAATGTACGATGGAACTGATTAAAAGAACTATAATTATTTGGTTTAAGATGTTTATAATATTTTTGTAGAGTAGAATCAGAGATGCAATGAAACATACTGTATTTGCTATTACATTTTTTAGTCCTTGATGCTTTGATAATCATATTAGTTTTGTCTGCTGTCTTTAATGCAAAATTATTTGTTAAACATTTTTAGTACCTCTAGATATAGTTCCTTTTATATTTCAAAAGACTGTATTGATAAGGCACAGCAATATTTCTAAAGCTTATAACAGCTGACTTAGTTTTGCTAATGATTTATTGTGAGTGAAGAAACTGAAGATGGAAGAATTTGTGATTTAATATAAAGAAGAGTGAAATTAAAAAAATATATATTCATTTAAATTTAATAATTAGTATTTTTGCAACTTCCAAATTGAAATTTAAAATGTCAATAATAAATTAAAAGATATGTTATTAAGGGAGATGAAGGTAAATCATGTATGTCAAAGTTTTATTCAAAGATTTGGTCAGTTTTTCTCATATCAGCCTACACAAGATTTAAAATTAATCAAAACCAAAATGGTGGTATCCACTACTTACCAGATTTAAAAGTCATAACTTAAACGTTTCTATTAAGGCTATAAAAGTTGAATTTTGTTTCTAAAAGCGTTGGCGGATGTGTACCTAACTATTATATGCAACAGATGTAAAGATTAAAATGTTTCTATTTTGTGTCCTCTTCCCGTTGCAAAGCACGGGTAGAACAGCTAGTACTTAATGTTTTAAATATTTTCGGTGAGTTATTTTGCGAGATCAAACAGGCTAACAAAGTTATCTTGATTAACCTTTGATCATTCAGTTTTAATATTGTTTGTGAGGGTAATCTCAAAGTGAACCTACAGAATACTTCATTCACGAGCATCAAGCACAGGATATGGTGTCAATACAATGGTTTATTTTTCTTTCTTTTAGTTACATGATAAGATTTTTAGTCCAATCGTAGATATGGTCAATATGGTCAACTAGAGGAGGGTGATAACACAAACTTGGTGTCGGCTCCAAACAAACATTTTCAATAAATAGGACGTCTGACTATGCCAAGATGGTAGTCGACGTATTTCCACTCTCGGTCTGATACATACATTATACTGCAATTCTTGCAACATGGCTTGCCGGTCCTGCCATTACGAAGCATAATATCCCCAAGGACAAGCCCTACACCAGAAAAGTCTCAAAGTATATTTATCAATTTGGAAACGTTAAGGCTGTGCAGTATAAAAAGGTAGATTGCGCTGTATTTAGCTTCTTGTGAAAAGAAGATAAGGAACGAGAGAGATAGTGGTAGACAATGATTGCAGGGGAAGTGATATGCGGACAAGTCGACCAGTGTGTGAACGTGGCTGTTAGATAGAACAAATGCTACTTTAATCATCACATTTCAGACTATATCAATTAATAATCCTGATAGAATATATCTTTTTATGATCATCTTTCAAGGCCTGTAATATGTAGATACCCTCTGGGTAGACGGTTAGTTAGGTAAAAAGGTAATATTTGGCTATGTTGGCAATAGGATCAGTTAAACATGTTGTTTAACTAGATTGTGGAATATTTACGGCCTCTTTATAACAGAAGTTAGAGAAAGTAGAATATTTATTTTACTACTATACATCTAATAGAGACCTCAAGCCTACTCCTACTCCAACGCCTAGCCTCAGCTTATCCCAAGTTGGTAAATTCATGAATAGAATCGCTATGTGTAATTGACAAAATCCATAAAATCCCGCCACCCAATGATCACGGGGTCTCCAGGTATAAAATTTCCGAAATTCATTCATGAGGGACGGACGGGCAAACACTTATACGCGACCTCGGGAAATAAAATAACCCACGGCGCCTACGAGCGATTTACCAATACGTGGATGGCGACAAAAATAATCACCGCTAAATAAAACCCCTCAGACAAAGTTAAGTGAGGAAGGCACCTGCTTGTGCCACTTTACAGTGCCTTGTTCTGACTTCTGAGTAAATCAACATATGTCTATAAATTATTGCCAACCCATCTACAGTATATCAATGTACAGTATATTATTTATTTCGGGCTTTCAGCATAATGTTATGTTGGGCCGTTATATTATCGCCTCAGTTTGTACATTATTCATATTTTAAGACTATTGTGTAAACAGCTCGCCATCTTGTAAATTAACTTGTCTGTTTGTTAATTGGCTGGTTTTTGTAAAAATAAAAAAGCTGTGCCCATTGACATTGGCCATTGCCCTAAAAATGACTATATGAAGCTCCCCGTTAGTAGCCTATACACCACTACACCAGTCCTCTAAACAATAAAACAAACTTGGATAATATTGTTGTAAAAAGCTGTATGCAGACATTTTCGAACAGTTGTATATTGGAAATGTATAGCTTTACCAAAGAAACTAGCAGCTGTGTCCGTAATTCGGTCCGGGAATATGTACTATACAATCACTTGTTTAGTAGTTCGAATTTATAAACAAAAAGCCACCAAATTTATACAAAAAATTATATATTGTAATTGTCCTACTGTTTATGTAAAAATATATCAATAACATTATTTTCATAACTTCTTCAAACCCCTATAACACTATAACAAAAAGAAAGCAGAGCCTGGATTGATACAAAAACGGTTATAGATTTTTTCCATAATCAATGACAGAGTTTTATAATAAAATCTATGACAAAGTTTTAGGATAAATAAACCTACCACATAGTTGTTTGAAATTTCAATAATTTGTTTTGATTAGCTATCTGAAATTGTGACGACAATAATGGGTTTTTACATACCTCCGTCAAATAGTCCAATCGTTGGACTATTTGACGGAGGTATGTAAAAACCCTATTACTGTCGTAACAGTATAGTCCAGTGGCCAGAAACTTGAATTTTGAAATTGTGAAATAAGCATTTGACAGTTCTGCTTGTTAACATTTAAATGTCAACGCAAAGCTAAACATGAGTTTACTCATGCTTCCATGGAGGCCAATCAATATTTACTTTTGAAATCCTCACCTCAAAACTCTGGACATCCAAGGGGCGTAGCCCGAGAGGAAATCAGGGAAGTGAATAGGCCTGACATTCCTAGATATGGGGACCATCTTTGCTGTATTGGTTTAGTATTGGCAGTCGTGACAGCCACCCAGACACACACAACCTCAGTTGTATAATGGTAAAGATATAAACCAGCATATTCCAAAATAGTTTACACCACACTACATTATTTTGACGAACTTCCCACGCAAGGATTTAGTCCAGAAAACAGCTGTTTGCCGCCAGCTTATTCAAATGGGGTTTCATTGCGTACTACTGTACTGCAATGAGTTTTACCGGACACCAATCAGCTGATTATACTGTATTTAGGTGGCAATGAATGGTTATAAACAAAAACATAACCTTTCTTAGAGGTTATGACTA